GGAGGAGGAAGGTGTTTTTCTGGCTGGGCCTGAATCGCTGTGTTTATCCACAGAGCAGACAGAGCGCGGGCGGGGGCAGCTTCCCCCACGCCGCCTCCTCCCTGTGCCCGGGCGCTGACGCGGAGGAGGCGCCGCTGAAGGTGAGCGGGGCCCTGCGGAGTCGCCAACCCCAAAAACGGGTCCTCCTCCTCCCGCCACGGGGGCACCGGGGGGACAGACAGGGACAGACAGACGGACAGGGACAGATGGACAGGGACAGACAGATGGACAGGGACAGACAGGGACAGACGGACAGACAGATGGACAGGGACAGACAGATGGACAGGGACAGACAGATGGACAGGGACAGATGGACAGGGACAGACAGGGACAGACAGACAGACAGACAGATGGACAGGGACAGACAGATGGACAGGGACAGACAGACAGATGGACAGGGACAGACAGAGGGACAGACAGATGGACAGGGACAGACAGACAGATGGACAGGGATGGACAGATGGACAGACAGATGGACAGATGGACAGGGACAGACGGACAGATGGACAGACAGGGACAGACAGATGGACAGGGACAGACAGACAGATGGACACAGACAGGGACAGACAGGGACAGACAGACAGACAGGGCTCCTGGCCCTCAACAGGCACCGGGGGGACAGCCAGGGACAGACAGACGGACAGCCAGGGACAGACAGGCAGGGACAGATGGACGGACAGGCATGGGGGGACAGGCAGGGACAGGGACAGACAGATGGACACAGGCAGGGACAGACAGACAGATGGACACAGGCAGGTGCAGGGGGACAGACAGACAGGGACAGGGCCCCGAGGGACAGACAGATACAGGCAGGGCCCCGAGGGACAGACGGACAGGAGCGACCCCGAACAGAGAGGAAGAGATGGGCAGGAATGGGGAGAAACGTCCCCAGAAATGAGCAGAGGGGGAGAAAGAGGGAGAGAAACCACCCCATAGAGAGAGAAATGACCCCAAAGAGAGAGAAACGACCCCAAAGAGAGAGAAACGGCCCCAAAGAGAGAGAAACGACCCCAAAGAGAGAGAAACGACCCCAAAGAAAGATAAATGACCCCAAAGAGAGAGGAACGACCCCAAAGAGGGAGAGTAGTGGCCAGGAATGAGGAGAGAGCGGCCCCAGAGTGGCCAAAGGGGGAGAAAAGCGAGGAAAAAGGAAAAACGGCCCCAGAAACAGCCAAAGAGGAGGAAAAATGAGGAAAAAATGGCCAAAAAAAGGAAAGGATGGCCCAAAGTGAGGAAAAACAGCCAAAAATGAGGAAGAATTGGCCCCAGAAATAGGAAAAGGAGGATAAAAGTGGCACAGGAACAGCCCAAAAATGAGGAAAAAAATGGCCCTGAAATGGCCAGAATGGGCTAAAACTGGCCAGAAACTGCAAAAAAAGGAAAACAAACCTGCCTGGAAATAAGCAAAAGGGGATAAAAGAGCAGAGAAACGGGCAAAAATCAGGTAAAAATGGCCAAACCCACCTGCAAGTGCCAAAAGGGAGATGAGACCAGCCTGGGAACAGCAAATAATGAGCTGAAAACAGCCAAAAATTAGGTTAGAACGGCCTGAAACAGCCAAAGTGAACCAAGACGGCCCCAAAATGAGTAAAAATGGGCCAAAAGCTGCCAAAAATGAGGAAAAAAACCCAAACCAGCCCGGAGGCACAAAAAAAATGGGAAAACCAGAGTGAAAACGGCAAAAGGGAGATGAAACCACCCCAAGATGAGGGAAAACAGCCCAAAAACCGGCTAAAAACACCCCAGAATGAGCTGAAAATGTCAAAAAATGAGCAAAAAGCAGCGCTAAAGCACCAAAAAAATGAGCAAAACACACTAAAAACCCCCCAAACACCCTGAACCCACCCAAAAAGGAGGAGAAACACCCCAAAACAGCCCAGAATGGACAAAACGCACCAAAACCACCCGAAAAAAACACAGTGAAACACCCCAAAAATGGGGAAAACACCCAAAAATGAGAGAAAACCCGCTAAAACAGCCCAAAATGGGGAAACCACCCAAAAATGAGTGAGAAAACAGCCCAGACTGGGCAAAACGCTCCAAAATCACCCAAAAATGAGTGAGAAAACAGCCCAGACTGGGCAAAACGCTCCAAAACCACCCAAAAATGAGTGAGAACACACGAAAACACCCCAAAATGGGGAAAACACACAAAAATGAGTGAAAACTCCCCGAAATGGGAAAAACACCCAAAAATGAAAGAAAACACACTAAAACACCCCAAAATGGGCAAATCCCTGCGAAACTGCCCACAAATGAGTGAAAATGCCCCAAAATGGGGAAAGCACCCTGAAAGCACCCAAAAATGGGGGAAAAGGCCCCAAAATGGGGAAAGCACCCAAAAATGGGGGAAAACGCCCCAAAATGGGGAAAGAACCCAAAAATGGGGGAAAACTCCCCAAAATGGGGAAAGCACCCAAAAATGGGGGAAAAGGCCCCAGCAGGGCCCCCCCCGAGGAGGCGAAGGAGCCCCCAGGGGAGCGGCCCCAAAACGCCGGGAATTCTCCCCATTCCGTGGGTTCCCGATGAGTGCCCAGGGGGTTCCCAGGGTGAGGGGGGGGAGAGAATTCCCGGGGGAGCCGCGTCCAGAGCCTCAAATCCCGGGATTTGGCTGTTCCAGGAGGAGGACGAGGTGCCCGACGACGAGACCGTGAACCAAATGATCGCCCGGCACGAGGAGGAGTTCGACCTGTTCATGGTGAGGGGGAGAGGGAGGGAGGGAGGGAGGAAG